AGCAAGCGGTTTGTTCTGCTACACACTCGTGTCACAGTGTGCTACCCTGCCACAGGCCCAAAGCAATGGGACCACGTGGACATGGACTGAACCTTCAGACCCTTCCTAAGTTAATTATCCCAGGTAGTTCAGTACAGTGCTAACAAGTGACTAACACACCCCTCCATTTCGACAGAGAAGCTGGTTGTTACTGCGCCATGTTGCATAGAAGTCAGGCACAGATCTGGCTTAAAATGAACCCTCCCTGGGTCTCCCTCTTCCATAAAAGAAATAGATGGGCCATCAAACCGCTAGTGCTTCTGCACCCCTTGTGGAGGTCAAAAGACCCTCACCATAGCAACCACCTTGTCTTCATTAACATTACTTTAATGACATTTACGTATTTTAGTCCACCTTCTCTAATTCAGCAAACCTTGCCTTTTTCCCCATTTTGCTCCAAAAGGATTTGCTAGTCCTTAGCAAAAATGACAGATTTACAGCTTCAGTTCTCGAAATGCACATGTATTTATTAAGTCTTGCCTTAAAGCAAATTCAAACATTTTCTATGATCATTTTTTGCAAGTGTCAGAGATCTGGCAATCCAACTTCAGGATGGTTCTTAATATGCAGTCCTCCATCCACAGCCAGGTAACCATAAGTTGTAATATTTCAGTGCCTTCCAGGTACTCTATATGACCTGCTAATTATCTGTCAAAATGTAGCCATCAGACACAAATCAAACAGGTGAAAAAAAAACTTGATCTAATCTCTGCTTTTTCCAGTTTCTAAGGCTCTGAATACCACATACATCAAGTGCATGTCTTTGGCTAGGACAGCACATACTTTCATATAGTCCCCAAAGCCTGCAATTCTCTGCAAAGAGCTGGTTTTTTTGCTGCCTAGCTTAACAAGCCAGTTCACTTTCCTCATCTCAGAATGTCTGAGCAGGGCAGAGCTATCTGAACCCTACCTTTCCAGAGGCACACTGCAGTGCCAAGGTAGGAATGTCTTTTGAACTTGAACATAGCATTATCTGCCCACCAGTCAGTGGCATAAGCACCTGCCTGTCATATCTGCCCACTGGGAGAAAACTCAGGCTTAGAGGGAACTTTTGGCAAAAAGGTCTGATCTGATTCATCCCGTCCTAGGAGGACAGCTGTCCAAGAAGAGAAGAGCTACCATGTGTTTAGGTTTTATTTCCCTTCCTGAATTCCAACAAGAAGTGCTAGCATTTGGTAAGAAAGCTAAATTCAGGTATGCTCGACACCCTTATACAGCTAATATCCAACTAATATTGACCAGGTGCTTACTGTGTACCAGACCCTATGCTAGATGGAGTACAACAAAAAAAAAAGGAAAAAAAAAAAAAAAACAAACCAGACCCAGAATTCTAAGATAACAAATATTAATAACTGAGGATTTTACAGGACATCAATGGCCTTTGTTGTTGATGGCTTAGTGTATACAGCTAATATGCTCCATTTTGAAAGGTAGTTCACCAATTAACAAAGTAAATGCATGCTGTTACACTCTCATGAGGCCCCATGAGGACGAGGACTTTTTTATGTCTTATTTGGGCTGTATCCCTGGCACTGTGAACGTGGTCTAACACATAATAGGAACTCAGCAGATATGTGAATAAATTAACGATGCCCTTGACCCACAAGGAGGGAGCTAACGATCTCCTATAACCTTTAACTAAGCAAGTGCTTCAGAAATACCATTACTTTCTTTTAACCAACAAACTTAGGCGTACTCTACCTTACCACATTGGAAATGATGTGGGTGAATTTTCAATGACCTGAACAAATGTCTGTAATATTTTGTCACATGAAAAAGCAAGTTACAAAACAATATGCCTACTATAAACATCCCCTCACCATTTTGCCAAAATATACACAGTATATCTTTTTAGTTGATGAGTCTTGGGATAATTCTTGTTTTCTGCTTCTTTTTCTTTCTGTGTGTTCTAAATTCTGTACAATGGGCATATATTATTTTCCTAACCACATATTTCAACATTGCTCTAAAAAGAAGATTATATCTCAAGTTTTGATCTGATTCTAGTTTCAGGTTGCGTTTTGATTTTACGTGAGGTCCTCTGTTTAGCTGACAATAACACAAACCTTTGTAGGACAGAAGAGAGGATGACAAGCTTCCTAACTGAGGCTGTTATTTCATAATACGTCAGAGGAGAGTTAGGTACCCCAGGTCATGGCTAGCCTGTGATCACTGTCACAGAGGTAATGGTGTTATAACTCTGGGAAGGCCACCTAGCGAGGGAGAAAGGATGCTAGAGCTATGGTTAAAAGAGCTTTTCTTGCAATTCAGGAAAATGATGCCACCAAAATCCATTGAAGGGTAATGAGCTATATTTCAATGGATTCCAAAAACAGATTTCTCCTAAACATGACCTGGAATGAGAGGTCAATTCTTTGTAAAGAAATGTTATTTTTCCCTCTCTCTTTCTCACCTACAAAGAAGGTTCAACCAGGATTTCAAAGCTTATCCTTTCCGCACTTCTCCGGAGTCTGGCAGCTGTTGGATTTCGGTGTCTGTGTGCCAGCTACTTGCTCTGCCAGCAATGTGTTAGGGTCATCACCCACTGAAGGATTTCACCACATTACATTTCCCCAGAAGCCTTTGTCTAACAAGGTAATTTATGACCTGTTCAGGAATTTGGTCTTTACAAAACAGTAAATTCACACTTGCACTGGACTTCAAAGCTGCCGTTATGAGCCTCAGTAGCAGAAGGCATCCTGCAACTGAGAGCTAGATCAACAGATAAGTGAGTTTTTAATGATCTCTTTCAGGCAGACAGCAACGGGGAAAAGCTTATGGCCACTGCAGCATTTGGCTCTTCTGATTGCAAAAATTCAACCCCAAAAGTGGGTCCTTCTGACAGTGTTAAAACCATTTCATCCACTCGGTACAGAAATTAGGATCTGTAGACTTTGGGAAGGGTCCAGAAGACCCAAGTGTTCCTCATGGGAAGGTTAGTTACTCCTGTCCTTGGTAAGGTCTTGTGGGAATGCCAACAGAAGCCCATTCTCCCAGCCCTGCAACCAGGCTAAGCCCAAAAGTCCTTCTCTGGAGGTGGGAGGTAAACTCCTCAATGTCTGCAATCATTTCAGCAGCCCTGGGTCCAAGTGCATCTTCCTCACACACGAATCTTGCATGAAATCTAGACCAGGTGTTCTAGAGTACAGTCTGTATTCTGCTTGCCTAAGAGTCACCTAAGAGGCTCATTTAGGAAAACAAAAACACCTGCGTCCCTGTGTATCAATTTTTAGGGATGAGGTTTAGGAACTATAATCTTTAACAAACAGTCCAGATGATTCCAGCCTACACCAAGTTTGAGAAACTCAGGGAAAGATGAAAACAGACAAGTCTAGGCCTTTAAGCTTCAGCACTTTGGGGTGAGCAAGATCATGTGAGATCTTTACAGAGTCACCCTTTGAGTTATGCACCCTTGGGCAAGTGGCTTACCCTCTCCAAACCTGTCTTCTCAGGTATGAAAAGGCAGGAATACCTCCTGGTTTTACAGTGATGAGTAAATTCTGGCTTTAAAGATGTGGCCTGCCTGCACTTTCTGACTTTTCCTGGTGTGTGCGTGCCCACACGCGTGCGTGCATCTGCGCTCTTCTGCTTTCAGTTTCTAAGCTGTCATTCGGGGCAGAAGGAAAGTAAGGAAGCTCTTTCCGCTGGGCAGCTCCCCTGGTTCAGCAGACAACATTTTCAAATAAAATCATTTTTAGACCCTTAGCATAGTAATCCTATGGCTTTCTAGAAACAGCAGCTCTGTGCAAAGGTGGGAAAGGTTTCAACTTTGAGTCACTTACACTCTCCATGTACCCTGAGAACCCTACACTCCCCGCCCTCAGCAAGCCCTCACAGTCCCTTCTTTGGGCCACCATGGTCAGCAGAAAGGAGAGGAAGAGTGTGTGTGTCTGGGTTGGAGGTGAAATGGGAAACAGAAAGATCTCTGTTGCCAAGGGGACAGAGAAACTGGTGACACAGTTATCCACAGGGGGTGCACCAATGCGGGAAAAAGGATCAAACTCAATTCCTGACACATTCGATTGATGTTAATATTAGCTCCCTGTGGTTGCAGTAAGAAATTACAGAAACTTGGTGACCTGAAAACTCAGAAGTGTATTTTCTCATAGTTGTGGAAGGCGGAAATTGGAATTACTGGGTTGAAACTGAAATGGTGATAAAGCCCTTCTCCTTCTGGCACTTTGGAAGAGCTCATTCATCGCCCTTCAGGGTCTGGTGGCCACCAGCATCCCTTGGCTTCTGTGGCCACATCCCTGTACTTTCTGCCCCCACCATCCTACTATTTCTCTTCATTCCTGTGTGATTTTCCTGCTAGTCCCTCTTACAAGGGCACCCTGGACAGTTCCAGGTCATCTCTGTCTACCAAAAGCTTGCACTTAGCACAGCTACGGTGAGTGGTCTCTCTTGCCACATGAAAAAATATTCACAGGTCCCAAGGAGTAGGAGCTGATATCTATCTCTGGAAGAGTCTTACTCAGCTGACTGCAGTCACTCTTTAAATTTCATGTTGACTTCACATGCAAAACAAATTCACCTACATCCTAACATACTCTCAGCATTGGTTCATGTCCAGAATCCCATCTAAACATCAGGAGCTCAAAAGTTCCAAACTCATCAACTAAATCATCTAAGTAAATTAATTGTAAGTGAAATTCTGAGTATGATCTATCCTGGGGGTAAAATTCTTCTCCGCTAAGTGATCTGCTTCCAGAACACAGTGATGAGACTCAGGCAGGGTGGCAGATGTTCCATCCTAAAGGCAGAAAATGGACAGAAATGAGAAGTCACTGCTCCTAAGGACTTTAAAATCAGAAAATTACATCAGGTTTCAAGAACTGGAAATAATTGTCTGAGGCTCAAGAATTTACCTTCTGGTCTCCTGGCTCTACCCATTAGGCCTAAGACTCCACCCTTAAGGTCAGCCTTCCTTTCTTGAAAGGAAGCAAAGAATTTTAGCTCAGTGGTTTTACCAACCTTTTTCCTATTGATGATGGTTAATGTTGACTGTCAAATGACTGGATTGAAAGACACCCAGGAAGTTGGTACAGGTCATTTTTAAGTGTTTGTGAGGCCGTTCCCAGAGATAGTTGCCATACAGGTCAGCAAATGGAGGGAGGTTGACTTTCCCCTAGGGTGGCAGCACTGTCCCATAGGTAGGGGGTCCAGACGGAACAAATAGCTGAAGAAGGAGGAAGTGTCCATGGACATGGTATGCAAGTTCCATTCTTGAGTGGGTGCACATTTTTGCTGCTGCCTTCTCCTGTTGACATCAGACTCCAGGTTGTTCAGCCTTTGAACGTGGACTCATATCAGGGACTCTCCAGGAAGTATGCAGACCCTCAGCTTGAGACTGGGACTGTGTCAGTTGTCTCTCTTGTTCTGAAACTTTCAACTTCTTGGATGGAGCATCTGCTAGGTTCCCAGCTTTACCACCTGTAGACAGCAATTTTGGGGATACTCAGCCTCTGGTCATGTGAACCAACCTCATAAATCCTGTTAATATATTCAATGGTTCTATTCCTCTAGAGAATCTGTCTAATACTTGCTTGTATAATTTTGGGAGTCAGACAAGCTTCCTTCATTTAAGCTGGCAATGTTTCTGCTGATACAACTGTCTCAAAATAATTGTGGGTCTCCTGTGTATATCATGATGATTCATGCCATTAGAATACAGCAGTGATGGCAAATCTTTTAGAGACCAAGTGCCCAACCCAAAGCCCATTTATCTATTGCAAAGTGCCAACACTGCAATCAAACCTGAATACTAAGGTCTTTATTTAGAAAAAAACAACTCATATATTAACATCTTTTGTCTTCAAAGAAAAACACAATAACACATGTGCCATAGGTTCACCACCACTGGATTAGAGGATTCTCCACAGATACTTCCTGGATAATTGTATCTGCAGTCCTGACTTTTCCTGAAATTGTTGAGAGGCTCCATGAGGCACAAAATCTCTTCCAAGAACACTCTGTGTTAATGAATGTTCTGATATTTGATGCTTCCAAAGTTCAAACAAAATGTTCCAGAGGCAGAGCCTTGACTTTCTCTCTACTGCATATTTCCCTGAAAACAGAGCTTCCAATTTTAGCATCTATCAGCAATCAGGACAAGCCAAACATTTCCATAAACTATCTGGTGTTGGTTACTTTTACTCATTCCCTTCATGTATCCCTTTTCTCTTTTTATATCACATGCAGAAAGAAGAAACTAGAGTGCATCTTCAACAATTTCTCATCAGCTAAATGCATTAGGTTGTGGATATCTTTGGGGGGGGCATAATTCAGCCTTGTATGCCAGTACACATAATTGTTGTTCTGTTTGTGTCTAAGTCAAAACCTGGTTATAAAAGGAATGAATAAAAAGATGTGGTATTTTTATATAGTGAAGTACTATTAAGCCACAAAGAAGGATAAACTTGAGACTTTTACAGGTAAATGGATGCAACTTGGGGCCACACTCATAAGTGAAATAAAACATCATATTGCCTCCCCAGTGTGAGAAACTGAATGAGTAAATAAGTTCTAAAATGTGCAATAGATATTGTGAAATGGGAAGAAATTGTTCAAAAGGGAAAAGGAACTCGGATGAGTGAAAAGAGAAAAGACAGGGAAAAGGGGAAAAATGCAAGTCAGTTATACTATTTGTGTCTCTTAGTTCATTAAAAAAGAAGGCTTGTGCTAATATAGCGTGGAGAAATTTTTATGTCTGTATCTTATACCCTGAACAACTACTTTAAAGATAACAATACCTAATGTATTAACTATTGTTATCGTCCTATTATTTTGTTATGAAATTTACATTTTTCACATAAAATTAAAACACATACAAAGAAAGGTCTGGTTGTTACTGAACACATCATTCATTCATGGAGCAGACAGCTGAGTATCAAGAACCCAAAGGCCAGATTCAATTCTACAAGAAGTTCCTAATAATGACAACCTGCGTGTTATGCTATTTACACATAATCACACAGCAGATCTGTGACACGTGTCACACTAGCTTAAGTTACAAACTACTCGCTAGGGCAAACTAATTTTACTCACATTTAAAATATACTAAGATCTTTGGCTCATGTACCTGCATTGCTGAAAGAACACATGAAGGAAGCTCATAATTCAGGGTAGATAAGTGAAAGATGAAGTAGTTACGTGGCCCTAGTGTTCACTTACCCCCCACACGTTTGTTGGTATCCACGTGGGGCTCTCCTGTGACCCCAAAATGAAAAAAAGATTATACACACTACAAGTTAAATATGTTGACAACACACAGTGACTCTTGCCTCTTGAAGAACTACCTTCTCTTATATTAAAAGAAAAAAATACTATCCCAGTTCCCCACCGTAGCTCACACGTAACCTTGCGTTAAGACAAGAGAGCGAAAGGGTGCTGCTGAAGGAACTGACGGGGTTCGTGTCCATTAACCCCACTTGCCAGTGAGACCAGTGACACAGAAGAGCTTACAGAGTTTGCCCAGGATCACAGTGTAGTTATAGGGGGAGCCAGAACCTGGATCGCCACATCAAGGCTCCCGATGGACCCCTTTAATGTTCACACAAACTCTTAAAATAGATTATGAGTCCCAGCTTACAAAGGAAGAAGCTGAGGCTTTTGGGATAGGCTGCAAAGAGTAAGCCCCTCAACTACTAGGAGCTGGGATCCGAATTAAGATCTCTCAGGCTCTGACCTCACACTCTTCCTGCTGTGACCCGCTGCCTCTAATGAGCAAAGCTCCTTGGAACTCCTTCAGGCCACTCAGGTGCTCTTGGAAGTAGCTTGGATTCCTGTCCCAAATTTGTGGGGCTTTGGAGAAAATGGACTGGTCATGTTGGCCCTTTCTGCTGCATAAGTATCTCCAGCCTTCCCCTTCCCAAGGAAGTGTGTGCTGCTCAATGAATAACGTCCAAAGTGCTAATGTAGAGAGAGCTTGTGCAACCTGAGAGTCCTCTGGGCAATAGGACCCAAACTAACTCACACTAAAGATCAGTTAATTGGTCTTCAGGTGTAACTTGAATGCAAAAACTGTCTCCCAGATGAGAGGAAGCTGGCTTGATGCAAGTCAGATGGTGGAGGGGTTCAATCTATGGGCTCTGGAGTCAGGGACATGTGGGTCTGATCCCCAGCTCTTCACCCTGTACCAGCTGGTGACCTCGGACATCATATTCAGCCAGGGTGTCTTGGTTCCCTTCTACATAGACTAGGGATGATCATAGCACCAACTTTATTGCATTTTATAAATTTTAAACTAGAGAATATGTGTAAAATGCTTATTTAGCACTAGGCTTCTAGTAAGCAGACAGAAACATTAGCAATGAGAATCAATAATGACAAAACTACAGCTGATGCCGCAAAGAACTGGGGCCCACATCAGGTTGCTTGGTGGATTCTGCATCTAGCAATAGTAAACTTACTAATAGTAATATTAACTAATATTTAACTGGCAAATACATAGGTTTCATTTATATCAAAACTATTCTAAGTGCTGCACACATGGTGTCTTGTTTAGGCTTCAGAATATCTCTACTGAGTCTTTGGATAACTTGATTATCTCTCTTTTCCAGAGGAAAAAAAAACTGACACTCCAAGAGAGCTTACCTATCTTACCCAAGGTCACACAGCTGACAAGGGTGCAATCCAAGAAATGAATCAGGAAGACTGGCGCCACTGTCCTTGTTAATAACCACCGCACCACCTGGTGTTCACTGTGACACAGCAATAGACTGCTAGTGCAAAGAGGTAACTTCTGTGATCCTAGCTAGCTGATTTCCAAAGTCCACCCCAGCTGACACATTTTCAATGGCAGGCAAAGAGAAATGTCTGACTGTCCAGCTTATGTGTGGATGTGAGAAGTTCAGCGTTCAGTGGTTCCAGCTGCCAACCTCCTGCAGCCGTGGGGCAAAGGAACGGGCTTGCAAGTCCCCGCAGTTAACACTGCCACCAGCCACCTGGCTGCTCGATTAGTGAGAGCCCCTGAACAGACATCAGGAGTTTGAGCTTCCCACCCAGCCCCTCTCTTTGAACAGGCTGCAGCTGCTTCCGACGTTGTTCTTTGGCCAGGATGTGGTCAAAAAGTTCACACCTAAGAAAGTCCATTTAAGAGGATTTAAAAGAAAAAACAACAGAAGCAGGTGGAGTAGAAGTAAACGAGTCACCTTTTGCCCCTAGCACTGCTCCAACAGCTGGGAAGGACTGGGCAAACCAGCAATGCTGGATCATAAACCTCTCTGTAACTCCAGACCCACCGCTTCTTTGAACAGAGTCCTGCCAGGGACTCTCACTCTGTAGCAAAATAACCTGCAGTGGGAGAGGGAATTGCTGCTGGAACTCAGGGGTGACGTGCAAGAGGAGAAGAGTAATTTAAGAAACTGGAAATCACTAGCAAAGGTGCCTTGGCCAGTTCATTGTGGAACTGCGGCAACCTCTAGAGCCCAGTGTACTTGTTGTGTAAGCGACCACAGACATGAAGAGATGAAGAAAGCATTGCAGAGGGTCAGACTGCTCTCAGTGACTGTCAGCTTGTATCCTGGAACTGCACCTCCTGGAAGCTGAGCTCTAAAAAGAATGGGGGTGGTGAGAGGGAGATTTGTAGGGGCTGGGTACGCTGTGATGCCTTGATTCAAAATCAGAAATACTGACTTGAAAAAATATGTGATGTCACTTATTTTGGTATAAACTGCCAAATTCAAATCACAGACATTTTAATACCCCTCACCCAAACATTGCATAGCATACTCTCCTTTCCATAAAGAGTTGTGGGGTAACATTCTAAATGCTTTTGAAGAGGTTGTGACCACTTTTATGTAGGGTTATAAACAGAGTGACTAACATTCTCTGTTTGACTGGGGAACAAAGGGAAATATTTAGTCTCCAGGCAGCCAGCTGTAGTCACCCTAGGTATATAAAACTAGCAAAATAAACTATAGTGATACGGAAGGAGTGAAGTCATAGGATGCAATAGGATACTGACTTTTCTGTTTAGTACTGAAGTTATTTAACTATGTAATATCACATATAAAGAAAAATTACTCATTTTGGGCACCTCTTCTAAAACAATTGCTGAGGGTAGCAACTGTCATGGAATTACCATTTTTAGTTTCAGAGACCTTTTCAGTCATTCACATCTCTTCTTATCTGTCAGGATCATGCCAATTAATAAAATGGCAATCAAAATATTTTTATTAACAAAAGCAAGAAAATAAACCCATGTAACCTATTTCAAATCAAGAATATTTTTTCACAGAAATCATAGTGTTAGATTTATTCTTTTAAAGTTAATTAAACTTTTGAAAAATATCCACTGTCCTCAAGGTTACTGAATTTAATCTGTTCATAGAAAGGACAATTTTGATTCTGGGATCTGCTACCCCATTTTATACATATATACACACTTTTGAACACTTTTTTGAAGAGTAGGTTTTTAAATAGACTGAATC